GAGAATAATGGGCTGGAGAAGATTCTCGGTGTCGGAAACCCTGAAGCACAGGGGTTTGCCGACCGCATGAAAATGCGCTGCAGTATTTTGATCGACAACCTTGAACCGAGAATGGTCCGTGACGATGTTAGACGTCACTACAAGTACGAATGTAGAGAGGCCAAGAAAAACGATTTCATGCTCTTCAATATCCTTAAGGAGAAGGCAAGGGCACAGCACAAGTATCATTTGCTGGCAATGGAGCAGAAGGTAAATTCTGCCTCCAGCCGCAAATCCAGTCAGGTCGATCCGAAGACCAGGCCTGGCAGAGCAGAGCAACGGGTCATTGGAGCCCAGCGTTTCAATATGAATCCAAATACTGCACAACCTCAACGAACGGACTCAACGCCTCCGAAGACTGGTTGCTGGCACTGTCAAGGCTCTCACTGGCTTCGGGACTGTCCGACTGCGACGGCCGAAGATAAAAGTCGAGCAGTGGACAGGATGAAAGAAGTGAAGGACAGGTCACGTGTGAAGATGGTTCGCACTGCACCCCAACCAGGCGAAGTCATGGTAAATGAGTTGATTGTATTAGCATATTGCGCCGACTCTGGTTCCGACTCGACGGTAATACCACGTACTGCGGTTGAAGAGTTGGTAGCTCTGGGGAGTGGTGTAAAGGTACAACCATTACCGGCACCGGTTGATGCAATAGTAGCAGGGGGGTCAACGGTGGTCTGTCGCGACTCCGTGACGCTCAACATCGTTCTTCAGACCGCCGCCGGCACAGTCCGCCTGCAAGAGGTCACATGTCTGGTAATGGAAGGAAATGAGTCCGATTTCCTCCTTGGCAACGATACATTAGTATCACTGGGTATCGATGTCAACCACCAACTAGAACAACTTGCCGGTAGTGCTCTTCCGGAAGATGTCGACCCGTTTGAAGAAGAGGACTGTCCAGATGCGGATCTGTCTGTCGCTGACGTTCGTGAGAAGCTTGAAAACATGGTGGTTGCAGCTGGCAACAGCGGTTTCGACCAGGGATACCTGTCGTTCCTCCGAGACATTACATTGGAGTATGAAGACATCTTTAGGATTGATCTTGGAGCCGATCCTCCTGCTGACATTGCACCACTGCGAATCAAGCTTGTTGAAGGAGCTAAACCCTTCCGTGCCCGCTCGCGCCGATATGCTCCGGCACAGCGCAACTTCCTTCGGGAGTATACGAAGCGGCTAGAGCTGATGGGGTTTATCCGGCAGAACAACCAGAGCCACTGGGCCTGTGCAGCAGTACCTGTGGCCAAACCCAAAGTACCTGGTGAGTTCCGGATGACGATCGATTATCGTCCGGTTAATGCACTTACTGTGCCGATAGCTGGATCGGCAGAGGATGTGACGGATTCAGCGAGCGAAGCTGAGGGAGCGTACGGTTTTGCGGATTTCGATATGCCAAAGGGATTTTGGCAGCTCCCTCTCCATCCGGATAGCCAAGAGTTGATGAGTTTCGTTACTACCGATACTGTTTGGACACCAGGACGCGTTCCGCAAGGGGCAAGTGACCCAGCCACACACTTTCAGAATGAGATGCAGACTGTGTTCGCTGAGATGTTGTATGCCCACCTGCTGGTATGGATCGACGACGTTCTAGTCTACGCAAAGGACCCAGCAACATTTATCACAGCACTACGTCAGCTTTTTTTAGCTCTGTCGTGTCCACCGTTTGAAACTCAGTGTGAGTAAAAGCTGTCTGTTTAAAAAGGCGATCCGATGGTGTGGACGTATATTCAGTGGCGCCGGTATCCGCCACGACCCAGAGCGTATCAGCGCTCTTCAGGCGCTTCCACTGCCAGCTACGGCTGCTGATCTACAGCAATTCATGTGTGCTGCGAGGGTGGATGAGGGATACTCTCGTGGATTTCGCCCGGGTCATGCGTCCACTACACGACAAACTGGAGGCAATACTGAGCGTCAGTGGACGCACTAAGAAGCTGGCAGCCGGTGTTGCCTTGACGTGGACGTCCGACGAGGAAGGTATGTTCGCGACGGCAAAGAACCTTCTTAGTTCGTCACAACTGCTGCATTTACCGCAGTCCTCGACCATAGTCTCCGTGTTTACGGATGCGAGTGACCTTGGATGGGGTCTCGTTGTGACACAGGTGGACACTTGGGACTCGGACCTGCCGGCACACGAACAGCACCACCGGTTGCTGGTATGTAAGATTGGAATATTCGATACGACCGAACGCCGGTGGAGCGTTATTGAAAGGGAAGACTACCCTATCATTCATATCGATGGCGAAGCTAACGTCTGGGCAGACCTTTTGTCTCGCTGGGGTTCCTCGTCTTCAGAAGAGGTGGGGCTACACGTGAAGTGCAAGTTCATGACTCGTAACCAACAACGCATTAAAGATGCAACCAACAACCAGCCTGACGAGCTTAGACCGCGGCAAGGTGATTTTGTTTTTCCTACTTTGGACGAGCTGAAGCAGTTGCAGCAGAGAAACAAGCGAAAGGCACCAGAAGTCGTAGACGTTGACGACGATGGTATAATGTCTGTTGAGGGCAGATTCTGGATCCCAGATTCGGCTAAAGAACTACGGCAACGCATCCTAATCGTAGCTCACTGTGGAAGCCAAGGCCACCGTGGCCTGGACGCCATGCTGACAACCATCAAGAGCATTTTCTTGATCGGTAGTTTGGAGCAGCACTGCCGACAGTTTCTAAAGCTTGCCTACTGTGCAAACACGTGAGGGGTGGCAACGTTATACCACGACCATGGAGGCCAACATACAATGCAACCAAGCGGAGCATTGGGATTATTCTGTATCTTGGAGACAGTGTGGGCAAATGCAGATATCTACTTGTCCTGAAGGATGGACTTACACATTTCTGCGAGATCGTAGCCTGTGACTCACCTACAAGTGCAGTAGCTACTAGTGGATTGGTGGATTGGGCAAAGCGTTTTAGCCCACCACAGATTCTAATTTCGGATCAAGGAAGTCACTTCAAGAACGAAGTTGTACGACTGTTGTGCAGACAGCTTGACATTGAACAAGATCTCGTTTTAGCATATGCACCATGGATCAACGGCACTATTGGGCACCTCAATCGCGATATTCTCCAGGTCCTACGAGTTTTACTGATGGAGATGAAGTTGGACATACATGAGTGGGAGTACCTTGTGCCAACAGTACAAGGTATCCTCAACCACACTCCTGTAGCATCACTAGGCAACAGATCGCCCGGTGAACTCTTCACTGCATTGCCTCGACCCTCGCCTTTTGAGGCAGTGCTAGTTGAGCGCAATGGCAAGACCGTGGTAATTACCGAGCCCGCGGATATTCCTACAGATATGGTGGAGAAAATGCAGCACAGCCTCCAGGAGATGCACAAGGAGGTAGAAGACATTCGCGAGCGTCGCCGCCTGCAGAATATGAACCGCTCTAATGGAGTGCCATGCAATTTCACTACCGGCGATTTTGTGTTGTGGTCTCGAATTGACTCTCGACTTTCAGTCAACAAGCTGTTGGCTCGCTGGGTGGGCCCATTTGAAGTTGTGGAGGAGCACCCACACTCATACATGATCCGCCACTTGCTAAATAACCAGCGCTATATGGTGCATGGATCCCGCTTGAAGTTCTACCGCGACGGCAATCTTGGAATCAGTGAAGAACTACTTGCACACGTCGGAAACCAAGGAATGGTTCTTGGCGTCGAAAAGATTGAGAGGCATCGCAAATTCCAGCAATCCTGGCAGCTACTCTTATCCTGGGTTGGCTTACAGGACGAGGAGGACTCTTGGGAGTCGTTGCATTCACTTTTTGGTGATTTACCGGACCGTGTGGCCGCATACGTCACTGAAACTGGTGACAATGAGCTTGCACAAGCTGTTTCTTCAATTCAGCAAATTTCAGCACTTAAGGATGCGTGTGGGCCGAGATATGGGGCAGCTGCAACGTGTTGAAGTGCAACTTGACCGGTAATAGCGGTCCCGTCTCATGGGTGGACTGTCTATTTTGGATACGTGACTGATTTCTATCAGATGGTGACTGGATTGTATCCATATGGATTTCGATCGTGCGGCGAAATTTCCTTTATTCATTTCTACATATTTCAGCTGCGGTGGCATGGTGTTCTCGGAGGGCAGTGTAGGTATTTGCGTGGCATGCAGTAATGGCATGCAGACTATCTGGAATCAAGAACACCATCTCGAAGGACATCATGCCTATCAAGTTGCAGCTACTGCATTACTGGTGCTCGACGCTCAAGGCTGTTTCAAGACGGTTGGCTACAATACGAGTAGGTAGTCTAGTGAACACAGCGATAGGAGTCTAGCCAAAGGAAGCTCACTTCTAAACTTGCAAGCAATAGCACAGTAGCATTCCCAGCAAAGCGGAAACTACCACACAAGAATAATAAAAAAGTGAGTGCTGCTGAACGGGTTGAAAAGGCTCCGCGCTCAAAGAAGATACTGGATAAAAAAACCAGCAAAGGAGATTGTGTTGTACTGCAGTTTCAAACTACGTGCAGCGAAGCTGTTTCCAAGGGAATGAAAACCGTCACTTAATAATGCCGAGCAAGGTGCTCGGCTCGAGTGGAGGAGACGTTCGCTTGCCACCACACATGGTATCCATTTGCTTATCTTAACTTTTCGCTGAATGCGCCATGAATTAATTACGTGTATGCTTGCTAATTAACAGCCCGTAACGGTGTTCTTTTCTGGATTAAGTTTAAGCCTATAATTGAGTTCCTTAAACTTGAAAAAGGACTGATCAGCCTAAAATAATTAGAACAAAATAGAAGGTCATCATTATCAGTGAAAATGAAGATAATGTATCAATGTGTATGTCGACTTTTCATTACTGTGGTTGCTGGGCGCCGATGCTTACATGACCAAGCAATCTCGGTGCGCGTGCCGCGCGCACCGCAGTTCAACAAAGCTTTCTGTAACACATCGCATGTTGATGAAATTTATTGATTTCTCATATAGTTTACGCATTAATATGCAGTGTTCTTATCGGCTACGGGTACGTTGTCAAGGCAACTTTCTTCCACTTTAGATCGGTTGCACAGAAGTAGATTGTGTTTTCATCATACCGCAGTGTTCCTGCAGTGCAAGCACTACCTCCGACTGGAGCTGGGGACGAAGTCGTCACAGCGCTACCCGCGAAAATGACATCACCGCCGTCGAATCTCAGGTTCGGCGACGATATTGTGAGCGCGGCTGTGGATGCAGTCTGGGCGTGAAGGATCGAAGCCTGCACAGCACTCATCTGTAACTGCCCAACGATATTCGCTGCAAGGATATTCACGACGCTTCCAGTGGTGTCAACATACAGAACGTCTGTTGTTGCATCCTTGGACACGCGGAAATTGCGCGAGTCGACATGAAGGGGCCCACCCGAAACAGTCGTCGATGTTCCAGTAATCATAACCTGCGACGCCGAAGTGAGCTGAATCGTAGAGCTCGTGGAAGTAAACGCGACCGCCAAGCTCTTCCCGGCCAACTCCGTGCCCGTGACCCTGAGAAGATCCGGCGCACCAATCGAGGCTTTCTTCACATAAAATCCACCATCAGCTACCGATCCCGTACCGATGTACGTGTGGACTGAGCCACCCGTCCCGGACGTCGAATCTCCAGCACGCAAATCAACAGAGCCACCAATGCTACTTGACGAGGTTGTCTTGCCAGCAGAAATCGTGACAGTTCCACCGTCGCCCGTGTTGCCATCTCCAACCAACATAGAAATTGCACCTCCAACACCACCAGTAGAGGCGCCCGTACTAAACGTGATAGTGCCACTATTAGCATTTTCCCCTGAGCCAGAGAAAAGTGTGATTGCACCACTTGTAGATCCCGAAGCACCTGTACCCGTCACTAGCGATATTGCACCTCCTACTGCGCCAGTGCTCAATCCACTTGAAAGACTGATATCACCTCCGTTTCCTGTGCCACCGCGGCCAGCGTTGATGCTAACCTTGCCACCAGAGGCGCTTCCTACTCCTCCATTAATTGTGGCGATACCTCCAACGCCTGCTGTAGTTGATCCTGCCGAGGCAATCCAGCTTCCACCTGATGCCGCTTTACCCGATCCGACAGTTAACGTCATACTACCCGCAGGCCCATTCGTCGACGTGCCTGTGGATAGTGTTAACGCACCTGTTGAACCAGATGCTGTTCCAGAACCAAATGACGCGTCTCCACTTCCAACAGACCCACCGATGGCCGACGCAATTTGAATCAACCCGCTTGAACTACTTGTGCTTGTCCCGCTAGTGATCGCGATAGTACCACCGTCACCTGTGGTTCCAGAGCCACTATCGAGTGTGATCTTGCCTCCGATGGCCCCGCCACCTGCAGTCATAGTTGCGTCGGCACCGATTCCGCCATTATTTTGACCAGCAGAGAAACTTAAGACGCCACCAACTCCAGTCGTAGTCGCACCTGCACCAACCGAAATGGAGATAGCTCCACCTGTACCGCTTGAAGATGCACCCGAAGAAATCGAGATAGTACCGCTGTTTCCAGACGTTGCTGACCCTGTCTCTATGGAAACTTTACCGCTCGCTCCAGGCACAGACTTTGCAGCAGAGGAGATAAAAACATCCCCACTAGCAGCTGCAGACGAGCTACTACCACTAGAGATCGCAATAGATCCGCCAGCTCCAGCACCGCTGCTCGTACTGGTTCTGCCAGCTTGAATCGTCACTGCTCCTCCGCCACCACCGCCACTGCCGGACGATATTGACACTTGTCCTCCAGCTGCTGCGGTACCAGAGGAAGTCCCAGCATGCATTGTTAGAGAACCACCTGCTCCGACAGAGCCAGAGCCAACTTGAACTAATATATCGCCACCAGTGCCACCGACAGCATTACCTGTGGAAAGTGTGAGGGAACCAGAGCTACCAGCTCCAGTAGTACCGGATGCTAATTTCACATTTCCACTCACACCAGCCGTACCTCCGTTCGCACTCAGAATACTAACTCCTCCTGAGCTCTTGGCAGTTCCAGTTCCAGTTACTAACGAAAGAAGTCCTCCTGTTGCCGCAATCGAATCACCAGCCGACATTGTAATACTTCCACCGATTCCCAGTCCGGCAGTGATGTCAGAGGCAGTGCCCACCCAGCTAAAAAAATGTCGCCTCCGTTTCCCTACTGTACCATTGCCAACTGATATCGAGATCCCGCCTCCAGTGCCCCCAGTGGAAGTGCCTGTCGACAAAGAAACTGACCCGCTCGATGCCACAGATGCAGCGCCAGAACGCAGCGTGATTGCACCACTTGAGCTTGACGCCACCGTAGCGTCTGTTATTGATCCCGTCGTCAGTAAAAGAGCCCCACTAATACCACTAGACGCTTTACCACTCGCAATCGACAGGGCCCCACCAGTACTGCCTCCGCCACCACTAGTCAGCTCCAAAGCGCCACCAGTTCCCGTACTGCCACCATTGCCACCGGACACAGATACCTTGCCGCCTGTACCTGAAGCGTCTGTCGTTGAGCCACCCACGACAGATACTGCGCCCCCAACTCCACCGGACCCGATACCATTACCACCACTCACAGTAACCAACCCGCTTGCGCCACCAGTGCTTGCACCCGACGCAAGTGTCACCGGGCCAGATATCCCAGCGTTGCTGACACCAGAGCTGACAGTTACCGCACCAGAGATGGCGCTTGTGGATGAGCTGATAGACACCTGGCCACTACTGCTCGTCGAGGATGACGCCGATCCGCTCGTGATTGTAACCACTCCACCCGCACTATTCGAAGCGGACGTCACTCCAGCAGCAAGTTTGATGTCGCCGCCTGCGCCAGCGTCACTGATCCCAACAGATAGCGTTATCGCGCCTGCAGTGCCTCCAGATGTAGATGCACCAGTCGACAAACTGACCGAGCCACTTGATCCGGAGGATGCTGGGCCAGAACGCACCGTTATAGTGCCACTAGAGCTAGTCGCAGTCACTGGACTACTCAACGACCCGGTCGTCAGCAACAAACCTCCGCTGGTGCCGCTTGTTGTGCTTCCAGTGCCAACAGACAGCGAACCACCAGCATTACCCCCAGCACCTGCAGTTAGCTCCACGGCTCCACCAGTGCCTGTTGCACCACTCGCACCTCCAACTACGGAGACCTTGCCACCAGCACCGGAAGCATCACTTGTCGAACCACCCAAGATCGACACTGCACCTCCAACCCCACCGGCGCCAGTACCGACCCCACCAGTCACGGTCACCAGGCCGCTGGCACCCCCAGTACTCGCTCCAGAGGCCACTTTCACATCTCCCGAAAAAAAAAATTTAAATCTCCCCCAAAAAACCCCAAAAAATGGGACACCGCGATCCCAGGTGCCACCACTTCTCATAGTGTTACCCCTTCTCAAAAAAAAAACTCCGAAAAAATATGAAGGGCTGGTTGTTGTCCCGCGCGGATGTGCCCAAAAAGAAAAAACCCCTCGCGCCGGGAATTTTATATTTTTTCCCCCCAAAAAGAATGCGTTTGTGAATATTGCGCCCACCACCCACGCCATGTTTCCATGATCCGCACCACGCACCTCATCACATGTGCACGCGCATCTGACTCCCGCTGTGCCACACGCCATCACAACGGACAGCAGATGCGCGCAGCACACTGCTGTCGAGCACTGTGGACACAGTGATCGAGCGCTCGAGCCTGAGACGCAGAGCCAGAAGCGATCGTCACAGCACCACTCGATTTCGTCGCCGTCGCCGACGTACCCAACGCACCCGTCGTCAACAACAGCGCTCCACTGATGCTACTCGGCGTACTTCCGCTCGCGATAGACAGATCCCCACCAGTATTGCCTCCGCCACCACTAGTCAGCTCCAAAGCGCCGCCAGTTCCCGTACTACCACCATTGCCACCGGACACAGACACCTTGCCGCCTGTACCTGAAGCGTCTGTCGTTGAGCCACCCGCGACAGATACTGCGCCGCCAACTCCACCGGATCCGATACCATTACCACCACTCACAGTAACCAACCCGCTTGCGCCACCAGTGCTTGCACCCGACGCAAGTGTCACCGGGCCAGATATCCCAGCGTTGCTGACACCAGAGCTGACAGTTACCGCACCAGAGATGGCGCTTGTGGATGAGCTGATAGACACCTGGCCACTACTGCTCGTCGAGGATGACGCCGATCCGCTCGTGATTGTAACCACTCCACCCGCACTATTCGAAGCGGACGTCACTCCAGCAGCAAGTTTGATGTCGCCCCCTGCGCCAGCGTCACTGATCCCAACAGATAGCGTTATCGCGCCTGCAGTACCTCCAGAGGTAGATGCACCAGTCGACAAACTGACCGAGCCACTCGATCCGGAGGATGCTGGGCCAGAACGCACCGTAACAGTGCCACTAGAGCTAGTCGCAGTCACTGGACTACTCAACGACCCGGTCGTCAGCAACAAACCTCCGCTGGTGCCGCTTGTTGTGCTTCCAGTGCCAACAGACAACGAACCACCAGCATTACCCCCAGCACCTGCAGTTAGCTCCACGGCTCCACCAGTGCCTGTTGCACCACTCGCACCTCCAACTACGGAGATCTTGCCACCAGCACCGGAAGCATCACTTGTCGAACCACCCAAGATCGACACTGCACCTCCAACCCCACCGGCGCCAGTACCGACCCCACCAGTCACGGTCACCAGGCCGCTGGCACCCCCAGTACTCGCTCCAGAGGCTACTTTCACATCTCCCGATACACCAGAAGTACTGACACCGGAGCTCATGGTCACCATTCCAGATGCACCATTCGAAGCAGATCGCAAGTATATTAGGCCGCTGCTGCTTCCCGTGCCTGCAGATGAGCCACTCGTGATGTCAATCTTTCCACCAGAGCCGCTGCTTGACGTCGTGGCACCACCAGCTGCAATGTTCACATTGCCTCCGGCACCACCGGCACCACTACTAGCACTGCTCGCACCTGCAGCAATCTTGACATCGCCGCCTGTGCCAACAACCCCATCACCAACGGACAGCGAGATGGCGCCGCCGGCACCACTACTTGTCGAGGTACCAGTCGACACAGTGATCGAGCCGCTCGAGCCTGACGACGCAGAGCCAGAAGCGATCGTCACAGCACCGCTCGATTTCGTCGCCGTCGCCGACGTACCCAACGCACCCGTCGTCAGCAACAGCGCTCCACTGATGCTACTCGGCAGTACTTCCGCTCGCATTAGACAGGGCCCCACCAGTACTGCC